ATAAGCACGAAATTCGAGTTTAATTATACATGATAGAAACTTCCTTGAGAGAGTCAAAAAAATAGCGTACTAAAATAACACATCAACCAATGACAGTCAAGGATTTTCCGAGTGGGAAATATAATCTCAAGGTCAACTGATCAGCCAACCCATGCACGAAAACATAAAAATTACAAAATTAGAACCTTTTCCAAGTGAGTTCTGGGGATCTAACATCCCCAACGACACTATCCTCATTACATCAATAACATGACATAACTTACTTGCTTAACTGTTCATTATCAAATACAAATGGATCAGTAAAATGTGTTGGCGTTGAACTCAAGTGGTTGTGTTCCACGTCTTGTTCCAGTTCTTTTCCCGGGACATTCTCTTCTAGGCCAATTTGGTCAGTTTCTTTCTTTTTCTCTCCACTTCGATTAAGCTGGAAATAATACAAAGAATGAAGATGAATATTTCCGAATGAAAATGCTAAATTGTAATAATCATATTCATACTACTTATTTAGTTCTACGTATTTGATTTGATTGAATCACCTCATCAATGATCATAAATGAAAACGTTGATTTGTCAATCATCCTAATACTATATACTGATTATCATAGTAAGACCAAATCGAATTTTTGATATTGTTATGTTCGTCACTGGGTACATACATTTGAAGCTATTACGAGTTCACCTTATTCGATGAAACGCGAACGAGACAATTACTAGCTTCCAGGTAGGCTACCTTGAATCCCAAGCTGTAAAACAGAAGTCTTGATGTAACGTAGAAAGTATATTCTACAAACACCTAGCAATCACAATACAATCAAGCACACAACTCTCGTTTATTTATACATCATAGAAACGTCCTTGGGATAGTTACGGAAATAGCACACTAAAATACACAGCAGCCAATCACAGCCATGGATTTTCGTGGTGGGAAATGTGATCTCAAGGTCAACTGATCAGCCCATGCTCGCAAACATGAAATACAAGATAAGGCATTTAACAAGCTAGTTCTGGGGATCTAAAATCCCAGAAAGATATCTCTAAAATATTACTTTAGAGCTTTATTAATTATTGAAAAATAGCAATTTCTGAATATAGGGAGATTTTTTTATGTGAGTTGATCGGAGACATACATCGTTCACTGATTATTATAACTAATCAGTGACTATATTGAATGAATACAGTTTATGGATTCTATTTAAATGATACGAGCAGATGTTTTAGAACTGGTATTCACTGTGTCAATACATGGTGTTTTAACTAGATTTTACGCTGGTGACAATCCGTTGAGATAAGTTGATGTTACGAGACTTAACATATGGATTTTTTCGTTCTGGAGACGTTATATCACCAGAATTCACTCGAAATAGGTCCCAGTTTTGTAATTTATTTCTGAAATATTGAATTTCTATGTTTTCGCGCCAAGAGACGACGCTTAGTTGACCCTACAGCTTACATTTCCCACTCCAAAAATCCTTGACTGTCATTAGTTGACGGATTTTTTTAGTAAGCTGTTTTGTGGCACTCCTAAAGGCGTTGCTATCATTATATAAATAAGCCTGATTTGTGTGCTTAGTAACCTCGTAATTTCTGGGTACTTGTAGAATATATTACAGGGTTGTGCAGATTCTTAAGTTACACATTTTTGAAACCATGAATCGATCAATGTTAGACCACCATTAGAAACCTGGAAGCACTGAAAGACGGCCGTTTCGTCCTGGTATGGGACTCCTCAGAAGTGCGCATCCACGACTCCTGCACCTCCAAGGATTCGAACCCGTTAGATACTGGCTCAGTGGTCCGATGGTTAGGCGTTCGCGCACAATACCGAAGGTCCTGGGTTCGAATCTTCAGTGGTGCAGTAGTCGTGGATGCGCACTTCTGAGGAGTCCCATACCAGAACGAAACGGCTGTCCAGTGCTTCCAGGTATCTAATGGTGCTCTAACATTGATCGATTCATGGTTTCAAAAAAATTTATTGGTTTTGTAACATGTCAGTCAACACGATATATAATCGACTGCCTGTAACATGAATTCGTTGGAGATAGAAATATGAATTAGTGAACTTCAAATCTGTCTGCTAAAAGAGATAACTGCTGGAGATTCGAAAGCAGAACACTGATAGGATCATCTCTGTGGACTTCAAGGACGAAACACAGCTGTTCATTGATTTCTTTATTTAGACTATTCTCCAGCTAAACTTAGTCAATGGAATGAACTGCCTCAAAAACGAAAACAAAGTACTAAAATATCCCTATTTAGTAGTTGTTACGCATTCGAGTAAACACGTCATTTGATATGCTTGAACTATTACAAGTTTACCTTAGTCGGAAAACGAGAGCGAGGGTTGACGATCCGGCTACATGACAAGCTTCTCTAATCCGATTGTCCTATACCCTCATTGAGTAAAATAAGAAGACTTGGTATGAAGTAGAACCTGTATTCTACAAGTATCCAGAAAATACGAGGTCCAAGTCCAAAAGAAGGTGAGGATCCGAGTCCGGGTCCAGATATTAAAATGTTACCGATAATGCGTATTTATACATTTAGGTCGAGTAAGCAACAACATAGAACTCTGTGACATTGACAGTTAAGGTGACCAATAGGAAATAATATTTGAAGTGACATTGATGGTCAGGACGACCAATAAGAAGCAACATTGAAGTACGTGACAATGATAGCTAGAACGACCATAATATTGACCAGTGGGATATTGACTAATAGAACTAGACTTACAAATAATTCTCTTAGGATATTGGATGAATATCCTAACAGAAGTTGAATCAGGCATAAACTAAGCGAAAACTGATTAATATTTCATAAACAGTGAACAAGTAATTTAATTCACATAAAAATCAACATACTTGACGAACTAGTCTTGTCTGCTGTACATAAGTACTTCGATGCAATGCTTTACCACTAGCTAAACTATGCTGTGTAAATCTTTGCAAACAAGCCACTGTACGACCACGAACATAAGCACCTTGAAATTTTTCTATATTCTCTAAACCAACTTCTTCATGATGCCATTCAGGTGCAGTAGGAATAACGGTACCTGTTAAATTTGCATCATTTGCATTTACAGATGGATTCAAAAATACCGGTAATCGTGGATCTAAAACTGGTTGTTGATCATCCCAAACACCGAATTTGTACATGTAACCCATGACTAAAAGCAAAAAATACATACATACATATATATTAGTATCAGTTAAAGAAAACTGACTAAATAATCATTGAAATCATCCATCAATCATTGTTACACAACCAATAAAAACCCACAAGCACTGGATTGCTGTTTCGTCCTGGTATGGGACTCATCAGTGGCAGTGCGTATTCATGACTCCTACACCTTGCAGGATTCGAACCCAGAACCCTTGGTCTTGCGCGCGAACGCCTAATTTTATTGGCGCTGAAACGTGTGCATTAGTTTTTCATAGCCAATAAAATAAATTTTGAAATAAACTAGTTAAGTGAATATGTAATGTATTCACGCTTGACTGACAAGGAATATGTAATTATGATATATACTTATGGCATTTGAGATGATATTGATAGTGTTCAAAATTCAATTGATATTTATAAAGAGTTAGTACTTTAATGAGTCAATTATTCACCATTCTAACAATAAATAAACTATTATTTTGTTACAATTCAACGGAGATGTGGCCTGCGATACTCTGCAGGACAGATTAATAAGAGTAATTAATAATAGAACATTCAACGCTGCCAAACTTGCATTGACATTCTCCAGTCGACCAGTGATGTCTGCCCAAACGAAGGATAAGTTACCTGAGTTGGCCTCCTCTATGTGCATTCACCAATTCAGCTGCTCCTGTGGAGATAGCTATATCGGACGCACTACCAGGCAACTTAACCAACGAATGAGTGAACATCTCCCAGCATGGTTTACGAAGGGTCAGTCAAAAACAATACGTAGTTCGATCTTAGCACAACTGGTTGATAGTGGTCACATTGTAGATAAATCTAGATCTTTTCGAGTGATCTATCGTATACCTCAATCATTTCCCAACGGAGTTCAATCCCGTCTCCTACACATCGCAGAAGCCATAGGAATACATACATTCAACCCCAATTTATGTGTTCAGAAGAAATTCGTGACACCCATATCTATTTCGTGGCCGGATATGACGTAACTAACGATTGACATTATATTTCTTATTTTTACACATTTGCTTATTACGTAATGGTTTTGATGTTTTGTAATGTTTATTTGAAGTCTATTCATCCACCTTTGACCTACTATTGATAAAACTTTAGGTATCATATTTTATAATTTTCTTAATACTATCAGTTCACCTGTCTTCCTACTATCCACTTTTACTTTCACACATTTTTGAAACCATGAACCGATCAATGTCAGACCACCATTAGATACCTGGAAGCACTGAACGGCCGTTTCGTCCTGGTATGGGACTCCTCAGAAGTGCGCATCCACGACTACTGCACCCCGCAGGATTCGAACTCAGGACCTTCGGTATTGTGCGCGAACGCCCTAACCGATAGACCACTGAGCCGGTATCTAACGGTGTTAATGTCTAACTTGATCAAAATTACTTTTGCCTATTATATGCAGTGACGTAATCTCTTTCATTTCATTGTGATTATTGACTCTTAAACTGCCTTGATTGGTTTAACATTTTCATATAAATATTCATGTGCATTAGAGTAAAGCATGATGACGATCTAATCGAATACAATATTGTTCGCTTATATGTGTTGTTCTAATTTTCACAATGGGAATCTTTAATAATTCCAAGTGATATAGATTTTCAAGTTGAACATTGAGCTACATAACCAAAAGAATTAAGGAAACCTATAACAGGTCTAATGAACTCTGCCTGCAGCCATTCTAGGTTTATTGTCTGTTCCAAGACCGGAGATAAAGGAGGAGGGTTGGGCCCATAAACAACTTCATCTAACGGTGTTGTGGAACAATGTGGAAATACTGGGTAGGGGAAGGACAAAGAACACTAGAGAATTTTTAGAAGCTTGGCACTCAGGTCAATTAGCAATCAACAAACACATCGACATTGACCCAATTTATCAATCAACCAGGAAAATCATAGGTGACACAGGATCAAGAAACAGATCAAAAGGGGGATGCAATCAAAATAAAGTTGCAAACAACGACAGATCAAAGGTCAACAGCAACCAATCAAGATTGAGGTTAGCAGAACAACCTATTGGTCAAACGTGGAGAAATTCGAATACTCTTCACTTCTTCTATCTGAAGTTTGTGCTGATGATGTTGTTCAGAAGAAGAACAGCAATGAAAGCTCCACAACCAAAACAACCAGCTCAGAGAACGAAACACCACCACGGTGTTGTGTTCTGAGATATATGCTGGAGATTTTGGAACAGTAATTAGGGTCATATTAGAATATCTGAATTTTGGTCAATCAGTAGAATTTCGAATAGTTCTACATAGTAGCATTATAACAGTGTCCCAACTTTGCCAATAACAACATTTTCTTTTATATCTAGAAATTTAAGGATTTATTGAGTTGCATTTTAGTCATCATAATTAACAATTTAGGGGTTTCATACCTAGATATACAATAATAATAATAATAATAATAATAAGTAATATCAACAATTTTCCTCGATTTTTCCTCTTAAACATAATCAAATCTAATTGATTGGAAAAAACGAGATTTACTTTGTTTTGATTTTGGTTCAATTAGTTCAGCAGTGTTATTCAACTGTTGTTCATCTTGTTTTAAAGTGTTAATCGATAATAAATCATGATGATTGATCATCGATTTGCTAGATTGATGATTGTTCCCTGTTATTGATTCCGGATCTTTCGATTTGTTTGGCATCGGTTTCACTAAACCACGTGTATTTTGAATACCAGTAGATAGAGAACGTTTAATTGAATTGGAAAGATTGCGAACAATACTACGAGCTCTTGAATTCGATCGTTTCACAACACCAGATACATTTATATTTGATTCGTCCGTATTATTATTATCGGTCTGTTGTGTTGTTAACACAGTTGAATTGATAGTATCATTGGGTTTCGATGATAATTGATTAGTAGTTTTACATTGGGAACAATTTGAATGACCACTAGTAGTGTATGAATTCACACAGTTGTTATTCACAGATCTTACAATAATGGCTGGTGATAGGCATGGTTCATTAACTTGTGAATTTCTATTTGTATGCAATACAGTAAGATCTAGACCAGGTCGTTGGATAACATAACCACCATTGGATGAATGAGTTGATTTCGTTGCAGTGGAGGAATCTTCACCGGTAGCCGTCATACTTGATACACGTTCATCATAATGTGGAGATTTATATTCATAGTGATTTTGATTGGATGATAATTCAACTTTGGTGTCAGTATTACTACTACTTGGAAGAAAAAATACCTGTGGATGAAGAAGTAGAAAAAAATTGAATGAGATTTGTGTTAGTCAGATTGAATTATTGTTTTTCTGAATCATTTTTTCTGGTTAGCGTTTTTTTGACAAGTTAATTTTAGTTGGGATGGGCGCGCCAACCCCATGTCCAACCCCTCCGGCTTTATCCAGGCTTGGGGGACCAGCAGTAGCCCCGAAGGGACTACTGGCGTTCTCGTGTGGACTAGCTGCAGGTAGGTCACTAGCTGCTCACATGCTAGCAAACTAACTGCCGAAACTGTACAAAGTACGACCCTGGCGTTTCAGAGAGAGTGCACGACATCCATAGCTGTCACTGTCTTCCTCTTAGCATGTTCCGTGTAGGTGACTGGCATCACGGATCACGTTCTCCAGAAACACCTTCAAAACACCACGAGTCTCCTGGTAGATCAGTTCGGAAATGTGCTTCACACCACCACGGCAAGCAAGGCTCAGGATGGCAGGCTTCGTGATGCCCTGGATGTTGTCAAGTAAGACCTTGCCATGTCTCTTCGCTCCACCTTTGCCCAAACCTTTACCATCTTTTCCTCGACCTGACATGTTCTAGACTAATGCACAGATTGACTTGCCAACCAAACACGAGACTGCATTTCTACAGTTAAAAAATATCTGGAACTCCAAACAACTTTTAACCGAAACCAAAATCAGGATTCGCAATACAAATGTGAAGACAGTTCTACTGTCTGGAGCGGAAACTTGGAGGACTACTAAAGCCATCATTCAGAAGATACAAGTGTTCATTAACATTTGTCTACGCAAAATACTTCGGATCTGTTGGCCCGACACCATTAGCAACAACGTACTGTGGGAGAGAACAAACCAGATTCCAGTGGAGGAGGAAATCAGGAAGAAGCGGTGGAAGTGGATAGGACACACACTAGGGAAAGCACCTAACTGCGTCACAATACAAGCCCTCACATGGAACCCTCAAGGTGAAAGGAAAAGAGGAAGGCCAAAGAACACATTACGTCGAGAAATAGAGAAAGATATGAGAGGAATGAACAAACATTGGATAGAACTGGAAAGGGAAGCCCAGGACAGAGTTTGTTGGAGAAAACTGGTGAGCGGCTTATGCTCCATTGGGTGTAATAGGCGTAAATAAGTAAGTAATTATAAATTGTAAAAATCGATCATATGATATGTCTTCATATGTGTATCTATAGCTGATTACTTCAATGTTGGTCTTAAGTAGCACGTTTTTTTTTAGGTTATTAGATGAAGTGATCCTCCCAGAATGAACATTTATCAATATCAGTGGGAGGATACAATCTATCTACTATAACGAGATAGTGTACATCTGAACTCTGTAGCCTACGAAGATTACGTGTTTCTTTTGTTAGAGCGAAATATACTGGATTAAAGTCCGCGCATCAGTATAAAAATATCAAACAGAATAAAATTTTTGATAGAACACAATGAGAAGATGTAATTGATCTGAAAAAATGTGATGTGTTTGTGATATACATATTTCAAACAATAGGGTCACAAATAAATACCGCTTGTCAAGTCATTTTATATGCAAATTAATCAAAAGGTCAATTCAATAAGAGGTCAATTAGACATTAGGTGATAATTGTAAATGAAGGAGAGAGAGAGAGAAAATTAACGTAATTTATACAGAAAGAATAAGAAAGGATAGGAAATTGTCACATTACACTCAGACCATAAAATTAGCTTAAAGATTACCAGGGTATTAATCAAGGCGATAACAAACTGTTTCTGTACAAATAAAGGAGGTTTGAATTTATAAATAGTCAAGGCCTCCATAAACCTCAACATTCATGCTTCAACGTTTCTATACAATGTTTTAAAGACTGTCTTGATGTCAATTATGTGTTTTGCAATCGATGAACATGGTTTTCTGTTTCCGACGTTACTGAGGTCATCTGAAGTTAACTGATTGTGAAGCCACTTCGGTACATGTTCCATAAACCTCGGTTGCAAAGTTCGATTAATCATCCCTATGTATTTGTGTCCACACAAACATGTAAGTTGATAAATGCAATAGGGTGGAATGTATTCATTCGAGCAATGTTTGGGTCTCTGTGGAATCATGGACATAGTCTTTTAAATGATAATCAGTTTAGCAGTGTAGTATGTTTTCTCTATGACTGCTTTTAGTCGCCGTCTTAGGCTAAAATCATTTGATTCGGCTCTAAACGGTAAAGTGATATAAATATTTTTCTTCTCAACAGATCGAAAAACAGGACTTTGTTTTAACTGATTTCTACACCTATTGATGAACTTTAGTGGATAACTGTTTGAAATCAATGTTTTAGTCAAGAATTTGGCATCATCTTCAAATGCATCCGTGGGGTAAATTCTTTTTGCCCTATTCAATACATCACATTTATCAGATCAATTACGTCTTCTCATCGGCCTAACAAGATTTAGAAGAGAGAATAATTGTTTTAAATTTCTGTAAAGAACAAAACTTGTCGCCAGTATTCCACTGCTAGTCATTATCACAGTTAAAAATTACCATTTCTGTGGCGGTCGGGAATTCCACAGATCCCTAAACTTTGTATGCTGATCGTTCGATAACTGTTGCTATATAACGCCCAACGCTACATGAATCAGAAGACGAATATGAAGCATTGATAATGTTTATTGTCACACCATACCAAGACCACAAAAGCATACGAAGCGAAAATGATATGCGAGTGCCGAAGAGCAGTCGAATGACCAAGTCTATAAGAATGCCAGTAAATAGTAGGAGTCATCAAATTATTTAAGCGATTAACATTCAAGAGAGTAGAATGAACAGGTATGTAGACAGTAAGCAATGCTCAACCTTACCTGCTCATACAAACGCCACAATATTAAAAGTACAACGGTACAGATAAGTTATCAGAGTACAAATGACTTTGTTAAATAAGTTAATCAAGAGGGCTTAACCAAAATTAAATGTATACAAACTCAAATATATGTGAGTTGCTATAACTCAAAAAAATAATCATTTACAAGACAAGCACTTTTTATAACGAACAAATCAATTTCAAGACATGAAATAATATTCCATTACAAACCAACTAAAACCACCCGATCGTAGCTGTTACCTTGACGTGGTGGTCGGGCTTGACTATCGTCATGACCCAACCGAGCTGCAACATATGTTCCTGAACGTTCTACCATGCCAGGTAGGTCGATTGGAGCACAATCAGACTAAAAGCAGCTACTCATGGTCTGAGGGTAAAGTCGTACTGCTGAGTGACCGTAGAGGGGTGTGACAGCAGTAAGGTGTTTCCCTCGAACAACCAGCATCTGCAGCGATGCTGCCTTATCACTACGAAGAAAGGGTTAGAAAAAGCCGACCCTAAAAGTGTCACACCTCACCTTACCTCATGGATTTCCGTCTCCGGTGGTAAGGGCTGCCCAGTAAGGGCTTTTAAAAAGAGCTGAGCTAACATTTTAAATACTTCTGATAAAAAGGCCGTGTGTGACCGGCCTCAAGCAGTTGTCCTTCGAGCTCTGCGGTCACGCTCTCAGGACTCTCAGACCTAGATTGATCTACCTTCCTTTTCAGGTTCCTCATGACTAACCATTCAAATCGTGGTTTAAGCGTTCACCGCGTGCTCTGGTCTGACACGTGTCTGTAAACTATTTTTATTGAAAATAAACTACCAATTGAAAGACATTATCTTATTATAGTGATTTGACTCATAGTTTTATTCACTTCCATAAGACACGCTATAATGGTCGGTATGTTTGCTCGTTTCACTTGATAATGGTAATTTCCTTAATAATTGTACTAATCCAATTGTATTTATGTTTAGAAACAGATAAAGTTTAAAGCCTAGTTGTCCTTGTTCTGACTATAGCTCTCCCACCGATTCGGTATTCTGCAGTATTGCGTTTACAGTACATCTGTAAAACAAATTAAATCCTACAACACCCACGGTGTGGGCAGCCGGGAAGTGACATCCACCCTCATGCCCGTAACAGCACGGTCACAAACAAATCCTTCGTACAACCCCTAATATATCTCTCTTACCTGCACGACTAACTGTTCCCACATACCCGTCAACTAAAACCTCTCCCAAATTCACATAATTTAAGGGTTGTTTTAGTGTGTTCCGATATTACTAGCAATGTGGGAAACAATTTTAGTTTGTAATACCATTATTAGTGTAGGTGTTAGAAAGTAACTAGTTAAACTAAAGTGGATGACTGTATGTTGGACAACAAACAACATTCATAATTTTCCTTCAAATAATAATCTTATCATTGTTAAGATATTCATCCAATATCCTAAGAGAATTATTGTTCGATTCCTATTGGTTAATTCCTACTGGTCAATTTTATGTTCGTCCTAGATATCAATGTCACGTACTCCAATGCTGTTTCTTATTGGTCGTCCTGACTATCAATGTCACTTCAAATGTTGTTTCCTATTGGTCTTCTAAACTGTCAATGTCACAGACTTCGATGCTGTTTCCTATTCGACCTAGATATATAAATACGCATTGACTGTAACGTTTTATGACCTGGACCCGGATACCTAACCGGGATCCTGATTCTCTTCTGTACTCGGACCTCGTACTTTCTGAATACTTGTAGAAGACATGTTCCATTTCATATCAAATCTTCTTTTCACTCAATATGGGGGTTGGGACACTCGGATTAGAGTCGCATGTCGTGTCGCCGGTGCTCGCTCTCATTTACCGACTAAGGCAAAATCGTAATAGTTCAAGCATCTCCAATGATATGTTTATTTGTATACGTAACAGTCATCATCCCTGGTCAAAATAAAAAAGGAAATTAGATTTTTTCTCCATTCAACTTACATCTCTTGTTGTTTTCCTTTCCAGTACAACACGTCTTTGATAAATTTGCCTGTAACGTTTACCATTAATGATAAATTCTTCCGAGACTTGCTCTTCTCTTGGACTACTACTTGTATTCATATCAATTGATGGTGAAATAGATTTAGAGAAAGGATATTCATTGAATTTTTTTCTATTCACTAACATACTACCAAAACGATTTAATTTGCAAGGATTCCTATGATCGATTTGATCATTCTCTCCAGCGTTATCTTCTGTGTCATCATAATCATCATCATCATCATCAGCACCATCAATGTTCAGTGTTGACCATCTGGATTCTGATGGATTATGATGTGGTGGTTGATAATCATTATTGGATGGAAGATTTATGCTACCATACTTGACATCCTGATTCCGTGTCTAGTTTATTGTGAAGTTGGGAAAAAAACGGACAAAATAAGATGTGAATAAACATAATGATCAGAAGACTATTAAGATGAAAGGAATCACTTCAGATAAAGGCATTCGAATCGTGAGTAGTAGTAGTAGTAGTAGGTAGGAGTCGTAGGTGCACACTACTGATGAGTCCTATACCAGGACGAAACGGCCTTCCAGTGCTTGTGGGTTTCTAATGGTGGTCTATCAATAATTGGATGATGATATCAGTGTGTAAAAAATCATTTGCTAACCATCTGAAAAACGTGCCAACTCGGCATCATTATAATATTCCGACCTTATCAATGTATGCACAGAATACGAATCATCAAGTTAGTAGTGTTTATTTTCGACTAACCGTTTATATGATCTTAAAACCTATCCTTCAATCATCTTAAGAAAAAATTTAGACATTTGAATATAACTTAACCTAACTTTAAAAACAGTTTACATTAGAATCTAAGTTCTAATATGACTGTTAATCTTCGATGGTAGATACATGTAGTCGATCGAGTTATAATAAAACTAAAGTTTTGTCGTGTTGGTGTTTCGTTCTTTGGGCTGGATGTTACGGTTGTGAAGCTCTCATTGTTCTTTGGAACAACCTCATCAACACAAAATCCAGATAGAAAAAGTGAAGTAACCGAATTCCTTCGCGTATAAGACTGGTAGATTGTTCTGTTGCTGTTGGCCTGAAACCTGTCGTTGTTTGCACCTTTGTTTCGATTGTATCCCCCTTTTTGATCTGTTTCTTATGTCGCCCAAGATTTTTCTGATTAGTTGATATATTGGATCAATGTCGATGTGTTTGTTGATTGTTGATCGACATGAATGCTAAGCTCCTAAAAATTCTCTGTTGTTCTTCGTGTTCCCCCTATTCGGTATTTCCACGTTTTTCCAATCGAATGTATGTCTTTAACTGTCCGTATATATTGATATAAGCGAAGAAATGTCATAGCGTTTGACTGCTAATTTGTATTCATGTCAAACGAAGCTGAAAATGACGTCGTCCAATTTGTTCTATGTAGTGTTTTGTTCAAAAGAACAATGAAAGCTCCACAACCAAAACATCTAGCTCAGAGAACGAAACACCACCATAATCATCCACCTGAGCTACCATCTTAATGTTTCTTCATGGATTCTGCTAATAGTCAACATGCAAAATCTAGTCACTGTATGGATAGGTGTATTTCTATGTACCCAGTTAATAAACTGTTTCACTAATAATAAGTTCTAAATACTAGTAGCTTTAAAAAAAATTATATATTTCTTGGAAAACTGACAACTTGTGTATCAAAATAACTAGAAAATAACGATTTGCTCATTGAAATTGTTAGCAGGACATAGATGGGATTAAAGCATGATTGGCTAATTCTTAGCCAATCAGCACTAGTCAACATTTGGAGAACATTCTAGAAGCTTATCATGTTAGAAAACTATAAAGATAATAACATTGTTCCTATTTACGCCTTCGCTTCGACTTCTTACTTCCATTAAACCTTGCTATTTGAAATATAATCTCTTCCCTGTTCAATGATGTTCTGATTTGTGAACTTTTCGAGTGGATTGGTGTCTGAGACTACTACTAAGCAATATGCATAGTTCGGTTTTACTAAGAGAGAATTATAACAGAAATATTTTTTAAAAAAAATACTCTGTTTATATCCCGTAATAACGATCAATAGTTAGAGAATTCTAATCCATGTGTATATATGAAACATACTCTCTAGGCAAAAACTCACTACCAATATCTGACAACCAAATGATTTTTTTAAAAATATGATTTAGAAAATTTAGTTGCTATTTTTTTGAAAAAAAACTTTCCCGTTGAAAATTTATTTCAAATAAATTTGCAAAATTATTTTATTTTCAAAAAAATATTTTATTTTTAGTTAAAATAAAGGTAGTTTTCATTTTTTTTTAAAAGAAAATAATGATAATAATCTGGTTTTTGTTTCATTATACTGAATGAAAAATTATTCTGACTTTTTGATCGTCAATTTAAACAAATAACTAAATTAATTAAATCGAGTTCATATTCAATGTTCAATAAAGAAAATTTATTTAAAAGGAGAAAGAAAAAAATTATATCAATGATCAATCCAGCTTATCAATTTTTTTGATCATTAAGCTATCCCAATTTTTTTTTGTTTAAATGAATGAGGTGAATATAATCTCTGATGGATTAATATCAATGATAATGATAACAATAATAATAATAAATTACTCAATTCCTTTTAATCGCTTTTATTTTTTTTTTTAGAAAAAAAATAGATCAAAGAGTTTGTTTGTTTGTTTTTTACATAATCCAAGGAGAAAAGTTTATTTCCAGTTAATTTTAATTTTTTTCTAGATAAATCATTTATAATTTTTATTAAATGAATTACAATGTGCATTAGATCAGTGTGCCATGATTGTTTCTTGTCACAATTATATAAAAATTGCCCTCTATTGGCAAGGGTAATTTTAAATTGGGTTGACAGGAGAACCAAGGAGACTGACTGTTCACATGTTAGCGCTTCGACCTGAACAGTTCGTCGCAATCCCGTGATGAAAGCATCATACAGTTAGTTACCTGGTACCCTGGTGGACTATTCACACTAGTTATATATGATTTCAAATGTGTACAAACTCAAATCTCCAAAAAACTCTGCCCGAAAATATCGTATTGGTGCTCACTAGTAGTG